ACACACACACACACACACACACACACACACACATATATATATATATATATATATATATATGTGTGTGTGTGTGTGTACACCTTTTTGATACATATACTTTGATTCATTCATATTTTTATTTTTTGTCCCAACAAGAAGCAGATCGGATATTGTTAAACATACATAGGAAATAAACATAAACGGAGGGACTATGATGGCTATTTGAGGCATAGAACTCTCATGAAATTATGTAATAAGATGGACAAATATATTTCAAGGAGATACAAAAAACGAAGTCAATCAAGTCATCTTTTGAGTTTTCCAGCAGATTATGTAATAATCTATGCCTTTTTTGCAGCAAATGTTAAGAAAGAAACACGTAAACAGTGAGAAAAAAGATTAAGAGAAAAGAGCTTTGAACCTACTCGTTACATGGCAATTGAATTCTGTTGGAGATGAAAAGAATGAATTAGATTGTTGGTAGGAAGATCATGGAAGATACTTTGAGCTAAGGGGAATGAAGCCTGGTCCGAGATCATTCTTAGTTGAAGGGTGATCTTTGCTTTGGAAGAATGGTCTCAAACCAGACACCATTCCCCTCAACTCCTTCATGTCTGTGCGGGAAAAAATGTGCGAGAGAAAGACTTGATCTGAGACAGAAGCAGAGAGGACTGTTTGATTTTGATTTGGCCATGCATTGTTTTTCATGGGCCCTTATATACGTGAAGATGGGGAATGTGTGGGTTAGAAAATAGTGTGTCCCTTGTACCATGGCTCCCCCATCTTGTCGAGCTTTTCACAAAGATTTTACGCGTGTATTATACAACATTTTACCTTGGATTTTAGTTCAAATTATCAATGTAAAAACTATATCTTCCCTTGGGAAAGAAAAGAGAGTTTTACTCTTTTCCTTCTGTTCTTGTTTTGTTTTTTTATCTACTTTTCCCCCTCACTTCTTGAGGGGGAAGTAACTAGTAAGTGGAGTATTCTAATAATCTAAATGATTGTTCACTTTCATTGTTATTATTCATTCCATGTTTATATTAGTGCCAAAGCTATATATATCTGACGAAGATCTCAACTTGTATTTTTGAAAATTCAAACATATTATTCATGTCTTGGAAAATGAAAAGGGAGTTAAATAAGGTTGATTTTCCTGGTTGATGGTAAATGGTTTCAAATCAGAAAAAGTTATGGTGGATTAGTGATGCAAAAGTAAACAAATCTTTTAGCATCTGTTAAAGGCTTAGCAAAGTTCCCTTTAAGTCCTACCTGCCTTTGCCAATCTCTTGCCAAACAATACCACCAAGTCCTATCACAAACGTGACTAGCAATAACATAATCCTATTAGTTGCAAGACTTAATATTATCTACACAACTCTTGTTGCTTTTGACATTAATAGTTCTGTCCAAGTTCATATTACCTCATATTTTTCCTGGTCAAACTTAGGTATAATTACATGTACATTTTTGTAAAATTATGTCCATAAATTGTTCTAATGGAGCCAATTATTTAGTGTTTTCAATGGTGACTTTGGTTCTGTACATACTACATAGCATTAATTTATTTTTATGCATTATTATTTATTTATAACCGGATGGAGTTTGTTGCTTACTGAGTTGATGTTGTCAGAGTGACTTAAGCAGTGCGTAAAAGTGATAGAACACAAATTATTGTGTATCATGGTGTTGAGATGGTGTTTAAAGGAATTATCTTTTGCTTTCCACTTAGGAAAAGGGGCAAGTGAAGAGTGAATAGGAGCTTTCATTGACGAATGACACTCCTAAATGGCATCAATCCAAGCTTTACATGGAAAGAAATACTGTTCGTCCTTATTTATAGCTCAAACAGAGGTAGTGGCAAGTGGATAGTGGACAATAAAATAGAACACGTTTCGAAAAATTACTGAAAATTGAGGGGAAAAAGTTTAGGTAGTTATGGGTAGAGCTTTTCTACCATGACTATTGTATTTGATATACACAAATATAAGTTTGTCATATTACATATATTTTCATCATCTAATTCCATAAAGAGGAAAGTATGTAGAAACTGGAAAGTATTCTTGTGGTCCTAAATGCTAATGGGGTAAAAAAGGAACCACAATGCACCTAGGCAAAGTAAGCATTACATTCAGATAAGCCCAAAACGGATACAAAATGAAAGCATGTAACCAAGAGAATTTGACCAAGTAAAGTAGAACCAGGAGTTCTCCCTACGTTGACTATTAACGTTCAAACCAACATGCACATAGAGAATTACATAGTGTCACGCTTGCACAACCCAACCGAGGAAAGTTGCAAACTTAGGGAATATAATGATACAACCAATCACTAGCATGGCCAAAAAAGATATGACTAAAATATTTGCACCATTCACATTCATATTGATTGAGCGCTACAATTGCGTTTGTTTTCTTCGATGTGTGTAAAAAGTAGGAGAGTTAATTGGAGAATAACAAACGATAAAAACAGGCAGAACAAAACAAGGTGAGTAACTTATGATGTGGGGGAAGATGGGAGGAAATAAAACTCACATGCAAAAAGTAATAGTGAAAGGACGATAACAACATTTCATGGAACTTGAGAAGGACAATGGCCCCTCAAGGCCCAACACCAAGAAATTGGTTATTCTTGTTCTCAACTCATAAGTTAAGATTATGGTGCGCATTTTCATTTACTCGCCACTCATAATAGCAATTAAACTCGATGTTAATTCTTCCTTATTATGGAAGAAGCTTCATTCTTTCACTTCTCTCTCTCACACCCATCCTTTTCTTGGAGATACCCAAGATTATGTGGACTCAACTCATCATTGTAGAGTGGACACCGAGTCAGGACTCAGAAGGATCTAATTCCCTATGCACCACTCGGGATATATTCATATGTACAGGGAGTTTGGAATGAAAGGAATTTCCCAATACTTTCGGCTAATATCAAAATTCAAAACCATTCTTTTATACACGATTGATGATTGTATATGTTTCTATCTACATTAGAGGATTTATGTTTGTCGGTGAAAAACTAACGATTTTTCCATTCCGAGATTAGTTTCATACGACTATTACTGTACCAACATCAGTCAACATACCTAACTAGTAACTACTATAGTTGTGTTTTCTATTCCATTTAATGGAATTTGACTTTTATTTTTCTAACACAATCATTTATATAAATTTTAATTATGTAAAATAAATATTTATGATGTGAAAATAATTGATGTTAAATATGTGGGTTGTTAACAATTAAAAGATGTGATATTTTTAAATAATTATTCAAAGGGTGTGAGATATTTAAAAAATAAATAAAAACTAAATGAAAAAGTATCGGAGAAAGAGGCTTTTTGAAGTTAAAAGGCAAAAATGAGATATCTAATGTACACACCAAAAATAACGTATCACCTTTATTATTATTATAAATGATAATGGCTGTAATTAGGATCTTTAGGTTCCCAAATCTCAGATTTTTCACAGATTTCAATCTTTTGGATACCTTATAAGACTAATCTTCGGTCCAGGACTAGTCATATTTAAAGCTCCCTATCCCTTTTCAAAGATGTATTATGTGAGAATCGAATATAGGTTGTTACAGGTAAACTTAGGTCCTTCCCCTTAAACTAAATATATGCACGACCCGAAATATTAGTATACTGATTAAGAATAATAAATATTGAGGATTCTGGTGGTAGTGAGGGTTGACATAGTGAAAGGTGCGCAAAGTGACAATTTAGAAAGAAATATCAGATGTGTATTGTGATGGAGTGTATATTGTTTTTTAAATTAAGTGGGCTTAGAGAATAAATTTTATTACAATATTAAGAGTTAAAAAATATTACATATTTACACAATACTTCAAATAACATATGAAAAGACATTATAAACTAGTGAGATTAACCAATTTGCCAATTATTTTTATTTTAGTTATATAAACTTATAGGCGAATCAAATATAAGTTAACTAAAACATAAATCTGCTTTGACAAATTTGCCAATTTGCAATCTGCTTTGACCCCCAAGAAATTAAAGGTTATTTTCTTGATCAGAAAATCTTAAATTGAAACAAGTTTAGCATACGCTTCGACAAACAAAACTACATTGATGTGGAAGCAGCATCCCTTAGACCAGCAGTATTGCTTCTACAAATGGGGTATGTTTTGTTCTAAAGGGTCTCTCTTTTGCCGTGTAAAAACAAAGCCATCTAAGCAAATAGACATTTTTTTTGTTTTTCTGTTTTCTACAGTAACTACTAGACATTAATGCCCCACCAAAAGGCAGAAGCAAGCATTAGGTCCTTCTACATTATTCCTCTGCCATTATGGCCACAGTAAACAAATGAATGATCATCTTAATTTAAACACGGTTCCGTCATGTTGCGGGTAATGTGCATATACTCCCATAAAGTTGGGGGTTATAATCATAGCTATGGCACTGTCTTATCTTTTCATATAATTCTACCAAAACCCCACACGGTTTTGCTAATAAGAGAAAAAAGTGGCAGAAAACAATTGCAAAAATGAAGCATAATTACTGTTAATGGAACAGCATTATTTTAATGATGATGAATTCAAACAATCTGATCCTGGACTTCAGGCAGACAAACAAATGCTGAAATTGCTCTTATGAGCAACAGGATTTCATTTTACAAATAATTAGAAATAAATTACAAATAAACATTTTCACTACTTACACAATGGACACAGCAGCAAGTGCTTATAAGTTAAAGGAAAAACAAAGTGAACATGGTTGTTGCAAGAAACAAGACCACAGTCCCTTGATACATATAAATCAGAGAAATGAGAAAAAAAACTCACTGAAAATCTTACTGGCTGCCAATCTCCAAGTCTGCTTGTCCAGTTACTTCAGTAACATTAATTTCTTCAATATGCTTGGTCTTGTTTTTGTGGTCACGTAAGCCATTCACATCACTCTTGTCATCATAGTTCTCTGTCTTCAGTATGTGATGCTTTCTCCTGACACCAGCTCCTTTCACCTTGTCCCCTTCAGATAAATTAGCTCCACCATTGTTGCTCTTTCGCCTGCCCAGCTTTGGAGATTTTGCTCGTGTGGCTGGTAGCTGGCCCAGACATGATACTCAACTTTTGTCATGCACAGAAGTTGAAAAATATGTCTACATGTACAACTAGATCTTTTACAATTATAATGAGCAGTTTTTCAGTTACTGTTGATGAAATTTGGTTTGAGAGCTTAACAAAACAAGAACTCTTCATTGTTTTTTATGATATTATTAAAAGTACAAGAAAAGTACAAACCTTCTTCAATTCAACCTTAGGAGGAGGCCCCTCATGGTAAAAGCTCGGCATAGGGTTTGCTTTAAAATTTAAACTCTTCCTTAGTTGCTTGATAGCTTCCTCCATCTCTTCCTTAAATGTTTAGAAATTGATGAAGGAATCAGAAAAAAAACTAACTTATGAGCTTATAAAAGGAAATAATATTACGGCAATGTATTTCTTAGTTTTGAAGATACTTGAGAAAGTGTTGTACCTTGGTCCTTGCTTCACTTTGATTCTTCTCAGCTTCCATTGCTTGGTGTTTTTCCTCTAATTTTGAATAAAACTATGGAAGGGACCATGCAACAATCAATTGGAGATAAGAAAACCTATCCAAAGTTAAGTAATATATAGTTTGTTACCTCCTTCCTTTTCTCTGCACGCTCGGTAGACCGAAAGACAGGAGCAGAAGCAACAGTTGCCCTGGACTTGATTGACCGCACAGAAGCTGCAGTTCTTTTCATGGTCAAGGAATAATAGCAATTTCAAATTCTAAAAGGAAGTAGGACCATTGCCAGAATAAGAAAAACATGGTGTGAGAATGAGAATCTTCAACTGCAATATTTTTAAGAGGATACATTGAAGCAACAGAACAAGAATCGTCCTCATCGGGATGCTTCTTGTTATCAGGTTGCAGTGGCTTTCTTGAAACTACGGGAGATCTCAACTGCAAGGTGAAACAGACAAAACAAAAGCTTCAAGATTAACTGTGAATAAATAGTAATAAGACAAAATTAACCATGAGAAGTTTAGCAGAGAATTAGACAACTCATATTTAATTTCATTAAATTGCAATATGATATCAGTCCTTATAAGATGGCTATGTTACCAATCTGAAGAAACTCTTAATGGGACAGGCATCAAAGTTAAATCTGTCTTGATAGGAACTTTGGATTAATATGCAAGAGATAACTTCCATAACTTAGAAGCTTTTCTCCCCTGATGATATACTACTCTAAGCACAGTAATAGAAGGGCTTTTTTTTAAACCTTCCAAAAATATAAAGACATCAGAATAATTAGAGGAAGCAGAATCAACATCAACATGTACCTGATTCTGTTTAAACATATTGGGAGATAGCACATTTTTCAGATTTAAAGATTTTCTCTCACTATTTCCCTTGCTATCTTCTTCAGAAGCAGCACGTGTTCCAACTGAAGCACGCTTCTCAGTTGCAAGGGAAAATGGTTGTGGAACTGTGGGCTTGATTTGGACACTACCTGTACTCCTACTCTGAAGGTTTCCAACAGGAGGTCTTGATCCATGCTTCACAGTATCTCGTGGCTTGTGATTACCCCTTGTTTTATGGGATTTTAAACTTTTCTCACTGAGGACACCCTCCGAATCTGAGGTTAACTTCTCATCACAGTCTTTGATGTTAGATACATCAGAGACCTTAACAGAAACTTCTGTTGTACATTCCTTCACCTCATATTCCTTTGTGCTCTCCTCTGAACTATGATGTTCAGTAGTTTCATTGATTTGTTCATAAGACTCCGTAATATTGTGTTGTTCACTTCCAGTTTCATGGCCTGAATCATGGGGAATATCATCTGAATAGACTATGACACGATCTGGCTCCTTGATGACACAAATATCTGTATCTTCTACTACCATTGCTCTATAACAAAGAAATTTCAGAACGAAATAAACTGAATTGTTTGAAATGCCACATAATATCAGCATAGTTTGTTTTACATTTTTGTATCAACCAAAAGTTAATAGAAAAATTTACACACCCTTTTCCAAATAAGAACATTATGATTGTGAAGGAGTGAAATTGGGAAGTACACATTTTTTAGTACAAAATAAGAAAATATAGCTGAAAAAAAAGCCTACACTTAACCCATCCCAAAGAATCTCTCTAAAACAAATCAACTGTTTAGCACACTTGCAGCTTCAAGGTTGAAATAGATGTTAATAGAATGCTTCTGAAAGGATATAGTTTGGTTAATAATTACCCAATGTTATAAAAAAATTTACTTAAATCTAAACAAAATAGTAGCATATAAGATTATAATGGACACTATTATATATCATATAAACTTCCTTCGTTGAGTCAATACACAAGTCTAAAATAGTATTATCAGTTGTGAGGAAAAAAGGAAGAAAATATAGAATAAATAGGTTTTTTAAAGAAAATGATATTCTAAAAGTTCTACCATGAAATCTATAATTATGCATTTCTTTGTATCTATAGTTTTGAGATTCATCTAGGTGCTATTGTTGAACCTATTGTTCTCAACTAGAACACATTCTTTTCAACTATGCCAGCTTCAGCAATCATGCTATCTTCTCCTCACTATAACCACAGTTGATTCTGACACTCGCATATAAACACTGTTACAGCTAACATGCCTAAATGTACTAATAAATTTAATAAAGCCAGGGCAAGATGAGAATATTATCTAAAAAACATGATCCTTGTTGCGTTCAACCAAAAAAGGTGAAACCATGGGGCAAAAGATTATTTTTTTAAAAAAGTAATAAACATTACAGATTTGATATGGAAGCATATGTGAATTATTTAACATAAATCATAAGAAATAAAATGAATTGTCTGCCTAATTCAAGGTTCAAAAGCACACAAAAGGAAAACTAAAACATGCAAAAGGAAAGCGACATAATTGGTAGGTGGTTATCTCCAATCAATTATTAAGACTCTCTAATAATTCAAAATCAACAACTCAACTACAACTAAAACAAGATATAAGAATAGCCCTGCATAAAAATATAAAAGTACAACCATGTAGATCATCCCAAGGAAAACATGCTTATGTGGTTTAAAAAAATACAGACACATTGAATTTTCTCAAGCTCCAAAATCAATGAAGAAAATATATCTTACATAATGGTTTTTCACCGACACTCAATCTTAAAACATAAACCACATGTGAAGAGCGTCAGTACTCAAT